TCCTGATCTTGTATCAGGCGACGCTTTTCCTCGTAGTCTCCGATTCTTGCGCGGTCCTGCCAATTGCCACGCCACCAGCTTCGCCATGCATGATGGCGCGCCGCACGGCGGTAGGCCCGGGCCTTGCGACGCTCCTCACGGGCGGCTGCTCGTTCGGTGCGAGTACGGAGACTGCAGCATCGGCTCTGGAGTACTGTCACAAGACAGCCGCAGCAGAGAATACCGAGTACAACCTCGATTGCAATAACGAAGGGGGAGTTCGGCGAGGGCATGCGGGGGTGAGGATGAGGGCCCTCATTCTCCTTCTCCTTCTCGTTGGAAGGATCTTCGTTTTGGACGGCGCGGGTAAAGGTTGGAGGAGGGGCCGAAGATGTCGAAGAGGTCGCAGGGACCTCCTCACTGGTAATACGGGCATTGGTTTCAGGGACTTGGGCATAATCGCTTTTCATTAAGCTGTGGAAATCTTCCTCTTTGGTTGCCCCCATCGCTTTGTTATGGTGGTGCTTTGATTGAAGGCGAATGTAGAAAATCTTCCAGGCACCATGAGCTCCGTTCGCAATCGTTTTTACAAAACATTTGAAGCTGTTGCATTCGCGGAGTTTTTCGTGCAGATTTCCGGTTTCTTGCTGGATCTGAGACTTGATATAAGCTTCTTTTTGCTCAATGACTTCTTGAAGCTGTTGTGCTTGAGCTTGGAGAGCTTTCCATTCGCGAATTTGGTCTTCCAAAGACGAAGTGGAGGAAGAGTCGGGCGAGACTACGCCGTCTTTGGAAGGAAGAGTCAACCGAAGGTTCACGGGAGGCGCGAGCCACGAGGGAGCGTGTTGCTTGTCACTTGCCGAACGGTTCGGGACGGGTTCAAGGCGGAGGAGCTCCGGAGGTGATTGCTGCTGCTTGAATGAGATTGTAAAACCAGAGGGGTTCTGGATGGGTTTGCCGTCAATAGCTTTAATGTTCACGGTCAGGACTTGGGCTGCATCATCTGTTTGATCCTCCCCGTGAAGACAGACGTTTTCCCACTCGAGGTCAAGGTCGTGTTGAAGGAGCCAGGACTCCGCGGCGAGGTCGGTGACACCACGGTAAGAGCCGGAACCCGAAGCAGAGTCACCTTGCCATTCCTGAGGCAGGTAGAGTCCGTTCAACGTGATGTTACTGGTACCACAAGCATCATTGTGGGCATGAGCCTTGAAGCTAAGGATCTAAAGAAAGGTAAGTGAAAACCAGTCATTGTGTTGCCTAAAGTGGGTCGTACTATGGACTCGTCATCATGGCTCGTGTGGTCTGGGCCAAGACAACCTGCACATGGCACACTGAAAGTAGCTTGCGCGTAAGTGTCGCGGACATCTGCTGATAGTTAGTAGCTGCCTTGGGATGGCAAAAATGGGAACAGGTATTTAACGTACCTAACTCCACCGCTCCGTCCCGTCGAACATGATGGCCAAGTGGAGCGTGGAGCGCTGACGGAAGAACGGTCGAAAGTACGGGAACCGCCCAAGCACAGGCTGACAGTACCTTCGACTTGAAGGACCGCATGGTTCGGTTAAACGACAAAAGGAATCAAAAGCAGCAGAAACGAAAGCTATGTCAATCTAGCCAGCAAACAGCGACACAGCGGTGTAAAAGAAAGAAACCAGACAGCTGTTCTGATCGCGACCAAGGCCACGGAGAATCAGGCACCAGCGGGAAGGGTGGAAGGGCGCGATGTCAACTGGTATTATGGGGGATTCTGGGGGGCTTAGAAGTCGGTTCAAGTCAGCAGTATTAGACGCGTGGCGCCTCGAGCCAATCGAGTAATGGGGCTGAGCACGAATGGTCACGATTCAGCTGCAGGGTAATTAGTTACATGGAGAGGACATTTCGGAGTTCAATAGGAATCCATCATGTTGTGGTTATCTTGTCCGTGATATAACTAACTTATGTCTTGGGTTAGATTTCCGTTCTTTTGTCGATTCCGTCGGGATGCAGTGAGTTAACTGTTGGCTGCGTATTGGGTACATGTATCCTCGACATCTTGAACCAATACGGGAACCATGGGAGGAATACACAAGCGGAGCTGGTAAAGAACCCGTTTCCGCCGGCTCAAGCACGAAACGCAGCTCATTTACACATGGATTTTATAGTATGAGCGGTTCTCTCAAGAGCCGGTGAGATTCCATCCCATGTCGTATTGCTCGTATCAAAGTACCGGTCTGAGGTTTCCAATGTGTTATCGATAACACATGCGCCAAGACAATAGAGCGTGTGATTGGCTCCTTGTGTTACTCGCGACTTCATTCCGCTCAGTCTCTACAACCATCAAGAAACTGTCTGTCCACTTACGTTGCCAACTACTTGGTCACCCCCGAATCACATCCCCTTCAAAAGGACGCGCAAGTCCACTCTTGTGGCGCTATCAAATCCGAAAAACGTTCCTCAGCAACACGCTCCTGAGAACTGCTGCTTGCGTCATACATCATGGTGGGCTGTTCCAATTGTGGGATGCATGAAGCTCAAGCTAATATTGTTATATAGCTACCCCTCGGCCTCTTGACGGCCGCGACCGGCCACCCTATGCTGGTCGAATTGAAGAGTGGGGAGACACTCAACGGCACGCTGATCAATTGCGACACCTGGATGAACTTGACGTTGAAGGAGGTTGTACAAACAAGCTCGGATGGCGATAGATTCTGGCGGCTACCTGAGATCTATGTGCGTGGCAGTACTGTCAGTCTATTCCACCTATCCCGAAAAGAGTTCGGCAAGCGCTGACTTAGTGCAGATCAAATATCTACGGGTGCCAGACGAGATTGTCGACGTAGTCAAGGAGCAACAGGCCAAGGACCAGGCGAACAGGGGCGGTCGAGGTGGAGCTCATCAACGAGGCGAACACCGCGGGGATCGAGGAGGTCGCGGTATGCGTGGACGGGGTCGTGGTCGTGGAAGGGGAGGCGGCGGCGGCGGTGCTTAAGACGAAAGGGCGACAGAACGAAGGTCAGTAACAGCAAGAACAGTCCATTTGGCTCTGGCGACGAAACGCTGCATGGCTGTTTCGATCAACGCAAATATGTCCGTGGCGCCACCCACGGGCCCTCACAACCTGGTACATCGATGCCTGATGGATATCGAAAGCAATTTCTGAAGAAGATACAGAGTCTGCTTTTTCGGCTGGAATGTGGTGGAAAACGATTTCACTTGAAGGATCTGCCTTTTATGTGATTCAGTGGCTGCGACAAACAAGCATATACATACCGCCGAACCTTTGCAATGCACATGCGTCCGCAATCAGCCGTAAGTTCCAGCTACTTAGTCTTCCCTCAAAATGTGGAGCCTCTTGCCAGGGCTACCCAAACGTTACAATGCAAACACATATCATACATGTTTTCGCCATACTTTGTTCGGTATCTGTCGTGATTTAAATATACCATACGGATATTCTAAATTGCATAATTCTTCCATGACCAAATAATCACAACTGCAATGGCATCTTTGAACGGCAAGCCAGGACACTAAAGGAAACAAAATAAAATCATCGCATCAACGACTTAAAAAAACACAGCAGAAAACGGGTTACAAGAAAAAAAAATCGAAACTATATTCTAAAAGTACATATGCCAGTAGAACGCAACGAGTCCAAATATTCCCATACATATGTAGTTAATGTTCTCTCACCTATCTGTTGAATGTCGGAGTTATATACAAAGCGTCGTATGCCAAACTGTCTACGCACAACCAACCACACATCACCAATGCATATACGTATTCCCCTGTTCTGTTTCATCCCGTTCAATAAATTCCAATACAAAGACGTATATATATACACATAAGCAAACAATCAAGTCTCCCTTCCAATTCCCTTAAATCCTACATGAGAAAAACGTGCACGACACATAAAACAGAAATTTACAGCCGCCCAAAACACAGACTTTGTAAGACTATCTACATACATAGTCCCGCCCCTTAAAAAAATAATGCATGTACATTTCTGTATGTATGCACCCGTCCCACACCGTACATAATGTGGTTTTCCATCAACCCTAGCCCAAAAGAAGTAAAGCATCCACTTCACCCCCTCTTTTCCACCCCCCTCCCAACCCCACTTTTGGTCATTTCAGCCCTCAAATATTCTACCAACAAAGAGAAAAGAAAAGATAAACGTATCGCAATTTACACCTGACTATAAGTAAGTGATTGACGGGAAATTTTCCATGATCTGATCCAACAGCAAGTGGACGACCAACGGCGCTCTGGCAGAGTGGTTATTGCGTAAGACTAGAAATCTTATTCCTTCGGGAGCACAGGTTCGAATCCTGTGGGCGTCGATTTAATTCGTTTGCTGTTCTTCAGAAGTTCATACGACTTTCTTTTTGCAGATTTTGATCTCCGCCGGCTGGCGCAGGCGAAAAGTGGATGGAAAACCCGCGCTTGTGCGCTAAGTGGGTCTATATTTTTTTCCTCGTTACTGCACTAGTAAATGGCTAATAAATGTGTATGGGAAATGTCTGGCTTTGAGGTTGTTAAAGAATTGTAGGCTCAGTGTATGGGTAGTTTTGTGTACTGCCCATGTATGTACAGATATTGGAGAAAACAGGATACTCAAACAGATCATGTATCCCCCCTGTTTAAAGATGTACCTCTTATAATCATTGTTACGTCCGATTGAACAATTTATCCCCAAGTACATGTGTAATACCCCCATAGTAACCTCCATACAAGTCTCTACCATTAGCATATCCCCCAAGTGCTACGTATACAGCAAATCAACTAAATTCGGCCCTTCTTTTTCTTCTCGTTATATCTAGCAAGCCGGACGGTCTGTCCAGGGGTGTACCTATCTCCAACCCACTACGCACCGCAAAAAAATTTCGCAAGTTCGGTGGAGCTCACTTAATCAAGAACTTAAACGAAAAATTCTTCAAACAATACCAATCTAACAGTATTCCCTCGCAAAGAAATAGAGCTCTACATATTCCACTTTACGCTCAAGATCCTCCATCAAAGACATCCAAGTCTTCACAAAACTCGGACGTGTGGCCCAATGGCAAGGCGCTTGACTACGATCCTCTCTTTCAAGCAAAGAGCAGAGTAATCAAGAGATTCCAGGTTCGACCCCTGGCACGTTCATTTTTGCTGTTTTCGAAAAGAAGGGTGCGTATGGTGGAGTTTATAGTTTTTTTTTGGGGGGTGTGGAGTGTGGATCACGTGTGTGAGTGGTGCACGTGACTCTGTACCGCGATCAATTGATTGCATAAGGAGTAATGTAGGATGCACTTTATTTTTCACTTATTTTGTATTCTCGATTTTTGCTGAAGTTGACCGTGCCTTCTCCCAATGAATCGCCACTCGCGTCAATTATCCGTGATCAACTCATACCAGCTCTCCAGAAAGAGAGCTACGGTGGAGAAGTAAATCACTTTAGGGTACTTGGATATACCTCAAAGCTGTCAATCCAGCCAGAAGCTGGGGCTACAGCTTCATACACAGTAACGCTATCGTCGTGGGATTCAATCCCAGGGGATCTATCCCAGGGTGCTTCCATTGCCCAAAGTGGTACCAACACATCTACATTCCGTCCGCCAGGTTCACCTGCATCTTCACCCTTTGAGCCCTCTTATTCCATGTATGAGATGATGAATGGGTTGGGATTGGGACCTACAAGCACCAGAAGCAAGGAATGCCGCCCTTCCAAGCGTCCTCGCCTTGGAGAAGGTGCTGACAGAGAGAGTAATGGTATGTCTCCCCCGGCGCTTCTATCTTCATCTCCTTACTAATAATACTCGCCCTGTAGGAACCACCAGTAGGGAAGGCGGCGGAGCTGAGAGGGAAGAAGGAGAAGATAGGAATCGCAATGGAAATAGCAATGGGAATGTCGATGGAAAAGGCGGCGGGGCTAAGATGGAGAAGATGGAGAAGATGGAGAAGATGGAGAAGATGGAGAAGATGGAGAAGATGGAGAAGATGGAGAAGATGGAGAAGATGGAGAAGATGATGAGAAGATGAGAAGATGGAGAAGATGGGGAAGATGGGGAAGATGGGGAAGATGGGGAAGATGAGACTGGCGGGGGAAACAGAGAAGACGGAGAAGATGAGGATGAGGGCGGCATTGACCTCAGTGGCGAGCGAGAGGATGACCACCTTGGAGACTGCCTTCAACCATCGCTTCAATCCCAAGGCCAGTATCGTGACCAAAAGGAGGGGGGTTAATTACACGGAATACACGTTAATTACACGGAATACACCCGGCTAACTGGAATCGTATCCCAGGTTGTAAAGGACTTTCACAATGCCATGCAAAGAATACCTGAGTCGGAGTCTGTCACGATTCTCATCCGCGCGATAGATGGCATCACAACAGACTCGTCTGCCTTTCGAACATTTCTACGCAAGATGCGAGACTCTAGTTTGCGGACCGGTTCAACTTGCTTTACCAGTACACGAAGGTTTGCCCCGAGATTCAAGTTCGAGGATGCCTTGTTCCTGTGCGTTGTTGAGGCTTAGTATCACTTCTCCCTGTTGACCCTACGACGTTCTCGACCTATCTCCGCCGCAGAGACAACTCCTACCTAGTTGGCAAGCGGATTGTGGATATCTAGCGGTTCCTCACAGTCTCAAAGCAAAGGGCCAAAGGAATTTCTTGGAGGAATGAGATGCCTGGCCCTCAACAATTCGGTGCGAAATAAAGGGCCATTGCAAGTTGATAGGGACGCTATAGATCGAACTAGCAGGTCGTGGGTGAATGCGAGATCACGTGGTCATGTTACGATGGGATAATGGCCTTCCATCACCGTGTATTGTTGCTGTCCTTCCAACCTATTTGTTTCCAAATTAAGCACAGCAAAACGCTCAAGTACTAGCCTGCACATACTCGCGCAAGCGACCCCTCTACCACAATTTATAACTGATACCTCTTTCTGTCTGTCTGAAATTGCTCGCCTTGCCTCTTCCTACCTGCCTGCTCGAACAAGCAGCTTGGTGCGGTCTACATCTACACGCGCGCGGACCGGCTTTCTACAGCTCGTTGCTCGCCTTGGATCGCTCGCCTTGGATCCTCTTTACAACTTTTTCTTGGAACTTTACTTGGCTATTGTCTTTTGGTCTAAAGGTCCTGGGAATAATATCATTTGTAGCATGGACAGGCTGATAAATACGAAATCCAGGAAGCCATGCCATCAATTCAAGTACAGAGTAAAGCAATATCGAGATCCCCTGATGCATGTCTGATTCGGTGGCTATTCTGAACCTGATTAGTCTTTTTTAATAGTATGTTATCCCTTTTTTCTTCAGTGCAACTTCTACTGTTTTCTGAGATAGTGGGTTTGGCTATACATGTGCATGCTATGTATGCGGATTCATCCCGCGATCATTTCTCTTTTACTAACCAGAGTATAGCGCCTCTAAAAATTATTATATTTCTAGCAGCAATACGTACAAAGCACATGCTGTCATGCTACGATTTTGCTTCTGCTTTAACAAAAGACACTGAATCATGTAAGCTCCGTATGTACGATTTGAGAGCGGAGAAGATCAAGCAAGGAATAGAACAAAGTAAAGGCCATTCATTGTACAAGTTCGAACATTGCTTTTCCCCCTACCCGGGAAATTTCGTGCAAAAGCTTACAAAACCCATACAAACACTACATAACACGCCTAGCAGGTAAGCACGCACGCTGCCTCTAATGAATTCCCATCTCCTAAAAATTACAGATATCTGGTTTGCACACCTATAGCAGGAACTCTAGAGGGTTCTCAATCACCTTCTTCAACTCCTTCATGAACTCGCCGCCCACTGCGCCATCGACGACCTTGTGGTCGAAGCTGGCAGTGATGACGATCTGGTCGTCCCACTCGATGCTGGGGGTGCCGTCCTCGGTCAACTCACCGGGCACGGCGACCTTCTTTGTTGTGCCGATGGCGACAATGGTGGCTTGTGGGGGGTTGATGATGGCGGTAAATCGCTCCACGGCGGGGTTCATGCCCATGTTGGAGATGGTGATGGTTCCGCCCTGGTACTCCTCTGGGTTGAGCTTGCCGTCCCGAGCACGTTTGCCGAGATCCTTGACCTGTGATGAGATGGTGGAGAGACCGAGACCGTTGACGTTCTTGACAATGGGGGTCATGAGACCGACGGGGGTGGCGACAGCGACCGAAACATCAACCACGTTGTGTTGACGGATAACCACCTTGCCGTTTTCCTCACGCCATGATGAGTTGGCAGCGGGGACCTTGCGGGCGGCGACGCCAAGCGCCTTGATGAGGAAGTCATTGACGGAGAGCTTGTACTCGCCCTTGGACGAAGCGTTCAAAGCTTCGCGGAGCTTGAGAAGCTTGGAGACCGAGATGTTGGAGGCGACGAAGTAGTGGGGGTTTTCCTGGAAACTTTGGGTGAGGCGGGAGGCGATGACCTTGCGCATGCTGGTGGCCTCGACATCCTCGTAGGTGGGTGCACCGGCGGTGGCTACGGCAGCTCCGCCGGTGGGCTTGTACTTCTCAATGTCCTCCTTGGTGATCTGTCCGCCCTTTCCAGAGCCCTTGATCGAAGCGAGAGGCACGCCTTTTTCCAAAGCAAGCTTCTGGACGGCTGGCGAAACCTTGGGTGCACGCTGGAGCACAGTTTCTAACCTCTTGCCAGAGGACTCGGTTTCAACGGCCTGAACAGCCGACTCCTCCTTTGCGGGAGGTGCGGACTTGGGGGGTTCGCTGGCTTCTGATGCATCGCCTTCTTTTGAAGGTGCGGCAGAGCTCTTGTCACCACCGGCATCCTCGATGGAGAATGATTCGAAGGCAGAGACATCCTCGCCCTCCTCAACCATGACGGCGATAGGCTGGGTAAAAAAAGTCAGCGCCGACATTCTTTCTATTTAATATACTCGACGAGATACACATAAAGCATGGGTGATTTCAAGAAAAAATCTCCATGCTTCCAATGATGCCATCCAATCTTTCGAAGAGACATGGGAATACTTACACTGCCTACTGCAACGTCCTTCTCGCCAGACTCTTTGAGGATCTTGGCAATTGTACCCTCCTCTTGGAACTCAAAGTCCATCTGAGCCTTGTCGGTCTCGATCTCAACCAGGACATCACCAGGAGCTATGGAGTCTCCAGGCTTCTTCTGCCATGCACCAATGTTGCCGGCGGTCATAGTCGGGGAGAGAGCGGGCATGCTGACGATGGTGTGGGGTGGGAAAGCTGTGCTCGGACATGGCAGATTAGCATGACGGCTCTTCAACGGATTGTGTGTCGTCTACGGGAGAGATGGCGCGGCTCACATTTGGAGGCATAGTATCTGGCGAGGGCAGCGAGAGCGGGAGTTCTCCTTCTAGAGCGTGGAGGTCAGCAAAGCTTCGTTTGGGCGAGAAGTCGAGGGCCAGAGTGGTAGATGAGAGGGAAGGGCTACATACGAGGCAGCGAGACCACCACGAAGGGCAATTGATCCCCTCAAGGTCAATTGAGAGCCCGCGCGGGCGAGCATGGTTGCGGAAGCGGGCATTGTGACGGGATGCCGATAGCGAAGGCTGGGCTGCTGTAGAGGTTGAGGGAGACGTGAGAGCTGGACAGGAGCACAGGCACGACTTTTGAAGCAGCAGCGGCGGTCGAGGGAGATGCAGTCGCTGAGCTCGCGCTCGATTGAGGGGATGGAGAGGTGGTTTTGGATGAGAGAGTTGCTCCCAACAGAAAACTTAGCTGGTGTTGTTCGGAGGCCCGGTGTTGCCAAGGCGCTATCTTCGGCGACTGCCAGGGCCACCCAAAGTGTATGGTATAGTATAGTTACCAAGTAATGTAATGTACCGTACTGTATTGATCTATGGTGAACCATTGCTTTGCGTTTGATTGTCGTGTAATTGGATATGAGGACTACATTTTTATTTTTCTTTTTAGATGGCCAAATTGTTACTTGCCATTGTCCCTCGGCGAGTTTTGTTGCATGTATTCGAGAGCGATGGATGCTGTACATGTAACTTGACATGGGCGGGAACGCAGGGATCAGTAAGGCTGATGGCCGCCGCGACAAGTGCGCCTGCGCTGTGCATACGACGACTGGCCGGCCCATCCATCACTGACAAGACACTTGGTCAAATAATTATAATCAATCTCCTCCACCACCATCGCCCGCCATCAATTCC